TTAAATGTCTGTATTATATTTTTTTCAACATTTTCTAATTTTTCAATATAACATTTAATATTCTGGATTGAGAATTGAACAGAATTGAATTCGGATAACCAAAATGACAAATCAAATTGCTTCAAAGTTCAGATATCTTACATAAATGTTACATGTTAAAAGTATACAAATGTTTGGGGTAATGTGTCTTTAATCGCTGCAGTTTTGTTGACAGATTTGTACATCAACAACATTCAAATAGATCACAATAAAAGTAATAGATTATGTTAAGTTAAGTAATTGATTTAGCTTTAGATCTCAATCTGAATGCAAAGAGTATTGATTTTATTGTGCTTTGATATAATTTAAAATACCAACTAGACCATATTGCAGTTAAAATTCATTTGTCTGCCATCCATCAAGTATACATGTATGCTAGCTATTTATTGACTTTTTTAAAATCACAAACTTGAGCTTTAAATGCAAATTCAGATGATATGATTACATTTGACATGAGATTTATACCAATGTAGTTCTATTATCAGTGTTTTTATTGCATTTTAATAATGTAATGTATCAAACTTGACATCAGGATGGTTTGTGCCTGCTCTAATGAAAGCACCCCTTGAGATTTTCAAATGGTTAATAAAACTCAATAAATAAATACTCTTATTGTATAGTTTGGGATTGTTTTCCATGTATTACAATTTCCAGAACTTGTCCATTTGGTTTTGTTATTCAGACAACTTCGGCAAACAAAATGGCTTTGTACCCGAATTTATATAACAAGTTGCTGAACAAAAACTAGAAAATGTCTTTGAGACATGAATGACCCTACTCTGACATGTCAATTAAAGTCAATGTTTGATTTTTTTTATATAAATAAGAACAATGAACCTTGCCTCGACTAAGGAATTTTTATACCCTAATATCAGTATTTAAATGTAAAATTCTAATGCTTGTCAACTTGCAAACATTTCTCAAGGTTTGTTGGTAGATACAAAATGTAAATAATAACTTACTTAATGATGGTATATTAGTTTCATTTGATTTTCTGACACGTGTGTATATATTGTTATTTTGTAATAATGACGGGTGTAATATTTCATGACACTCAGAGCAAGCAGAAATCTGTCATGCTAGTAGTTCAAGGAAGAAACACAAACCTTGAAATAGGTCATAAGATATGTCCCAATGCATTACTGGATCAGTTTTAAGTCTTTATTGAGTTAATACCCTCAAATTTTTATGACATTTTGAATCAGTGGTATGCCTTACTCTTCAACTTTTAAATTTGACACCAATTAGAAACTAGCAATGTTGTTATCTGAAGATATCTGCTCAAAAAAATAAATAATAACAACATTTTTTATATAAACTTTAATGTTCCACTTGCCTGACCTATACATATACCATTTTTTTTCTTTCCAACCTGGCATTATCGGACACACAAGTATTTTTTTGCCTAGAATAGTTATACAGATTTGGGTATTCAAGGACCAGGAAGTAAATAAGATAATTTAACGAGACTCTTTTCGTCACAACAAATTTAGCACACAGAAGCTCTTAGTACATACACACTTTGAGCATGTAGGTGTCACTACCTACCAGCATGATCGTGATCGTTTCGGCAGTAATGAGCGGTGCCGGTATTTATACAAGTATTATTGAGTATACAATATGTACCCTATGTATTAGACCGATTCATTATTAATACCATACAATAACATTGTTTGGTCTATTATCCATGTCATTGTATGTTTTAGAACTGTATTTGAGAATCATTAAGAACTGAGTTTAATCAACAGACTTTTCCACTACCCTAAAGGTCTGAATGTGTACTAAGTAATTATGTCTTTGAAACTAACACCTGGTTTTAAGAAAATCCTGTTTCCACTACATTGATTTAAACTTCTATGATATTATTTGACAGGATTGTATGCCACAATTAACTGGTTTCTGTCTTTTAATATATATTTACATTTGCCCTGTACAGCCTTTGAATAAACCTACCTATCAAAAATATTGTTATAAACCAACAACAATGAGAATATTTTCCAATTGGAACCTCTCTGAGTCCTTCCTTCTTTTCTTAGAGCAATCGGGAACCAATCATAGGAAAAAGTCAAATTTAAATTATAATGGAAATTTATAACGGTTTCCAATTGATGAAAGTTGCCTGATGGAACTCGGGTAACCATAGAAAACAAAACCTTGTTCCACCCCTTGGTAAAACAGCTTGTTTGTACCATGAACCAATAAAAACCACCCAGAAAGAGGAGATACAGTTTTCTTTGCTGTCTTGAATGTAAGGGTTGAAATGCATCTTTTTAATATTAATGAGGGTATGCAACAAGGTTCCTTCTTAACACATTCTCCAAGATGTGCTACTGCACTTAATGGCATGTTTGAACTTGATGTCATTAACTTCCGACCAAATCTTCCAGTTGCCCTTGATACCGACACACTGTCCTATATATCTGACCAAATGTTCCAGTGTCCCCTGATGTTATCAAGCATTACTGACACACTGTCCTATCTGACCAAATGTTCCAGTGTCCCGTTGTTATTAAGCATTACTGACACACTGTCCTATCTGACCAAATGTACCAGTGTCCCCTGTTGTTATTAAGCATTACTGACACAGTGTCCAATCTGACCAAATGTTATAGTGTCCCCTGTTGTTATTAAGCATTACTGACACACTGTCCTATCTGACCAAATGTTCCAGTGTCCCCTGATGTTAATTATTAAGCATTACTGACACCCTGTCCTATCTGACCAAATGTACCAGTGTCCCCTATTGTTATTAAAAATAACTGACACACTGTCCTATCCGACCAACAGATATGTACTAATACATATTTTATACAATTTTTAAATGACTCTAAAGCTTTTCATTTCATTTTAGAGAAGTTCTGGCAAGCTAAATTTAAAGCTTTTGACAGAATTTTATAAATCTCAAAGACTGTATATAAGGATATTTATATAAATGTAATGGAACCGAAGTCAAGATATCAAAGGTCTGTAAAGTAGCTTCATGAAATAAAGTTTCCCCATGCTAATCAATCATGTCTCATAACTGGGTCACCAACAGTAGTAAGACTAGATCTACCTGCTGATTTACTAAAGACTCATTTCCCATTGAAACCAGATAGACTATTACAACACAAAAAAAACATAAATCTTTTTTTTTAAATGTAGATGTCAGGTGGAACAAAGGGAAATGAGTTTAAAATGATGTATTTTACATGTTAGGATAGTGTGGCTGTATGAAAGGTGGTTTTAGATTTTGTTAATCACCGTTACTGAAAAACCCTACTACAAATTGGGGACTATTTTCTGCCTAATTATTGCCATCTCATAGCCGTTGCAGTCCCACTTAAGTACAAAAACGTGCAGATATTGTTTAAACACAGACTATTTGTCAAGTTATGAATTACACCTTGCGCTTTAACCATGTAAAGTCACACTTTCATGAACTGAAGAAGGAGCTTTAGTTTTCGGATCTCCTGCAAGAACAGCCTACCGTCCAGCAATTTCAACTCTGATCATATTTGAATATCTGTCAATTTCAAATAAACATTAAATGGCTGTTTCGTGTTCAATGCATTCTAAATCTTGTTGAAAATACAGTTTTTAACTGACTATAGACAAGACTTATACATTCCTTATGTGATATTTTGAAATTCAAGTGGATTATAGTCAGAATTGATATTTATTCCACTTCAATAAAACAAAATATTCCTCAGAAAATCTTGTTTGTGTTATATTATCTATATTGGCATCAATATCAGGATTAACTCACCTATTAAATCTACTAAATTTGATTACCCTTCTATTAACATGCAGAAATCATGAAAATGAAATCAGTTGTACAAAATATTTGTCCAATTCCATCCTGTAAAGAGGTTCCCCAACAGTCATGTTTGCTTATCATGTTAATTCAATTTAAATTGGTATATTCAAAACAAAATCAATAATCTAATTTAACATGACAACTAATGAATAGGCATTTTTTACAACAATGTTCATATTCTGTGGATCTGATATCTATTTACACACATCTCCAAGTTTCCACACAAGAAAAACTTTCGGCAAATGCCAAAGTCACTCACCATAAAAAATACATGGAGTGCACCGGTGTGACACCATCATACATGGGGATATATATACAAATTAAACCTGGTTTAATGTAATTTATGAATGTCCTAGTAATACTTTGTTTTTATTATGTTTCAATATCATGAATGTTAAAGTACTGTATTTGTTGTATCTATGATTGATATGAGCGGACGCTGACCATTAGTAGGAGGTGAGAAGGTCAAAAGTCGTATGAATTTGTGGCTATTTTTAGCACCCTATATAAGTATGTGCACTAGCTGACCCTAGGTCACTAGCCTGCTGAAGATGATGGAGGAACAAGGTGTGTACCTTCTTTTTACATCATGATCTAATTTTGAAAAATATCTAAGTGAATTTTATTACNCTGACCATTAGTAGGAGGTGAGAAGGTCAAAAGTCGTATGAATTTGTGGCTATTTTTAGCACCCTATATAAGTATGTGCACTAGCTGACCCTAGTGTTCTAGTTGTTTATGCACTTAACATGTCTTACAAGCTTGCCATGGTGATATTTACTTGGAATCAGGCATAAATATATATTATAATATACAAAGGTTGTGACCTATGTATTAACCATGGAATGGATATTCACACTTTCAACATGTGGATAAACAGACATGTTTATTTACCACCTTGCTTGTTTAGAATCTAATGTTTCAAGAATGAGAAGACTTATAGAAGTTTTGGAAGGAATGTATAGATCTACGAAATATTACAAAAATACAGTATAAGAATGACAGGAAAATTACAACGCCTTAGACACTTTCTGATAATGAGTCTGATTTGCAATAAAAAACAATAGATTACATTTAGACCTTAATACTTATTGTGTCTTTGCAAGAAAGATGGAAACTGTTTGCCATTTTGTGATAACTGAAATAACTGTGTACAAATTACCCTCAGGTGCAGACTTTTCCTGATCAATTATCTGGTTTGATACCCAGGGCTGACTCTGTTGCTGATACTCCGTCTGCATAAAAGGGGATAATCCCGTAGGTCCGAGTTCTGTTTGCATTTGGCCTTTGAAAAATAAAGAAAACCATAACATTTAATATTTTTTATTTTATCTTTAACTGATGACTGAAAACTCATTTTTAACTTGTAGGTAGGTAAGGTACCAGACAATGACTGTTATGGTTAAAATTGGAGTGAAGATGAGGGAACTGAGGTTGAAGTTGAAACAAATTAAAAAAAATAACAGGAAAAACAACTATTGTTTTGTTTGCCATTATAATGTTAACAGTTCATTCATACTTCCATTCTCCATATCAGGATATATGTATGGTTGGCGGTTTGTGGCCAAAAACGATATACTTTTACATTTGAAAAAGTATTGCATTAGAAGTGACTTTTAACGCATTAAATGTACTTATAATGCCTTAAATGTCAGTTCTAACACGTTAAAGGCACTTCTAACACGTTAAAAGTCAGTTCTAATGCGTTAAAGGCACTTCTTACCCGTCACTTTTTTAACATGTTACTGTATTTCGTTTTTGGCCCAAAGCGCCACCCATATATATGTACCCAGCAGGCACATGACGTTCATTCAATGTTATAATATAATGTTTTCGATGTTGAAATGCTGTAGTAATATGACGTCTAATTGAAATATTTTTGAGTTAATAAGCACTCTTTCTCTTTCGCTCGGGACTATAGCATTAGTTGGCAACATCTGTATCAATGATGTCGATAGATGACATCTTTTATATTATGGAATCATTTAAGTTGACATTAGTACAGTATAAACCAGTTTTTAAATCCACAACTGAAGTGTAAGGGACCATATGTCACATGATGTATACAGAGCATCTGCAGAGATTAAATCTACCAACCTTAAAGCACCGTCGGATGCGAGGAGACCTAATAAACGTGTTTAAGATTGTGAAAAACTTGCATGTTTCAGTGGGATATAAGTAATAGAACAAGAGGGCATTCTTACAAACTTGATGCAAGGAAAAATTTCTTTACTTTCCGTGTTGTTGATCATCTTATGTTAAACAGTTTGAAATTGGTTTAGATGAGTACTGTAAAAGTGAAAATATAATTTTTAATTTTTAGTTTTAAAAACTTTTCAATTGACACTTTTATATTTAATGTCAATTGTGTTGTATGTACTGACATGGATATAGAGGTTTGTAGCCTGCATCCATAATGTATCATGTATTAAATCAAATCATATATATTCTAATCAAAACAGTTATGATATATAATATATATGGTTATGGTATACATATTTCATTAAGCAAAATTACATTTAAAAATTGAAACTTTTATTTTAAACTACTTGAGAATTTCCTGCATATGATTGAGCATCACTATCAATTTTAACATAGTACAGTTTCTCTGATATAGATTCTATAACACATGGAATATTCTAGCGACCACTGAATGGCTGTCATGATGCTGTAGTATAGTGTATTATCATATTGACCACGTACGCCTTTCATATCTTACCCAAATATGTTTATCTTACATGAGTGGACATATCCTGCACACAAGTAGATTAAGATAATTTTAGGAATAAATTGTGTCAACAGAAATATGCTTGAAAATATCAAAATGCTATCCTAGCTATAGTCATTAAATAAAGGAATGCAAAATAATTTTTAAAATATTATATGATAGTTTTGTATTATTTCACCAGATCAGCAGACGTCTCAAATTATCTTTTCTCGTAAAATAAATTATACTGAACTCTATTACTGTGTGGTGTTAACATCGCCATAGGAAGCAACAGTGTATTAGATCTTGACGTTACTATAGTCAATATATTGGGTCCTTTCTAATCACTTATTATGTTCCAGTATTACAGTTAATTAAATAAATAACGGAATATATGAATAAATATCAAGTCACCTAATTCAATCATTTAAATAAAACTAAAATGTATGTCAGCTAAATGATAGATAGTATACACGTTTCAATGGAGCCCCTACTAAAATTGTTTTCATAATACATGTTTGCATAGCCAACCGTCCTCTGCTCATCACTTAGGCCTAATCACATGCTGTCAACTTCCTACCAACATGTAAACAACTCGCTTGGGTTCCGGTTAACTCCCTCGTGAACGATAATATGCCGGTACATTCTGAGTAAGATACTTACCAGACATTGCCATTTTCTCCTCGATTAATTCACTTGGCAAATTTGTTTATGTTCATCCAATTTTTCTTCAAATACTAATTCAATATCGCCTGCTACATTCCGTTTCAATCACGGGCACTTCCACTTTCGTCGCTCTCCAGTGGTGAAGACAAAAATATGCGTGAATTTACAGGTAGCCAATCAGCATCGAGACACAGGTCATGACCCCATAGACAAATCAATCAAGCGCGGCATTGTTATACAGGTGTTTTTCTACAGGTAGACAACATGTATTGACAAGGTGTTTATTGGCGTTGTCTACGATGACGTTTTATGTAGAAATAGCCTATACATAAGGACGGTTTTTTTTCTGGTTATTGATAAATTAAATTTGCTATGACGTCAGTATTTGAAATATCAAATATTCTAGAACAGTTAAGTAAACGTTTCATATTTAGACTATTAACAACAACTCACACTCGTAAATACGTCGATACCGGATCAAGTATGCCTAGCGCTTCATACACACCAGTGTAACATTTCAATCACAATAGTCTATATCAACATACATATACGTGTAACATATCTAAAAGGTTTATTTATTTATTCTAATTTCCTTACTGCAACCAGAGACATATAACTTATACTACATATATACTGGCTTTATATGTCTTTGCTGCAACTTCACTTAATTGGCTCAAAAACTCGCTTCTCGACCATTATTCGAACGAAGTTTACGTACGTAAGAATGAAATTCTGAAATTAGTGGTGAATTCAACTGTTATTTATATAAACGTGTATTTTTTATGCGACATCTCAGAATTATATTTTATATCGAAGTCCGTGAAGGCTCCTTGGTTAAGACCAGATACACTTAACACACTGAAACACTAGATTTATGAAAAACAACTGGTTTCTATTCCACTTCAAAACTATTTGAATTAATTTCCTATCGATTGATTGATTGATAGGTTTTACGTCCGCTTCACTACCGAGTTGTTCGGTTATCCAGCAGAAGGACCTATTCGAATCACGCTCTCTATATATACCCGTGAAAAACTAAGAACACAACTTGATATACAAGTGTTTTTTCTACAGGTAGACAATTTGTTTTTTTGGCGTTGTCTACAATAACGATTCCTGTAGAAATAGTCTATACATAAGTGAAGTACTTCAAATATATCATTTATCTATTGCAAGCCTCTCTAACTAGCAAGGCGTATCGCATCGGAAAATCCTAAGTTAGCAAAATGTATTGATTGACGTATGGGGCATTTTTCTGAGTTACCACGTGCTCGTCACGTATGTTTATAAAAACCTTGGCTTTCTATGTACATAGTTTGTTTAATATATATTACAATGTCAGAGAAATTAGAAATAACCAAAATACAACCTAAGTTTAAAGAGTATTTTAACTCGATAATCAGGCAATGTTATTATATACATGTGATTTTAGAGGGTTTGAAAAACGCTTAGAGCTAATATGAAGTCCTCTCCCAAACATATTTGCAAGCAAATACATCAATAGTAGAAATTGAATAAAGATACCTATATGAGGTGAGAATTTAAAACTATAGACATCTACTGTATGATACATTAGGTTGGAACGCCAGTGGTTTACACTTAGTATTAGTAAATATAACCGTTACCTGCTATCATCGATTATATATACCTGGTTCCACCTTCTCCCTTCCATATTATGGTTTATTTTGGCGTCTCCTCTGCAGTTCTTTATCGAGTCATTTCAACGTGAGATATCAAGACATCCGCGATTAAATAATATCTCCTTAAATCCTCCCCTTTTCTTTTATAATTTATCATAACAATTTGTTATTTATTTTTCTCGTTTTATAACACTTAGAGAGAAGAAGTATTGAACGTGATCTTCCTGTAGAATGACGTTGGCCTTAGAGGAGTAACAATATACAATCGAGGAATGAGCGACAGAAAAAATCAACACTGAGAGAGTTGCTCAGTATAACGTCCTAACAGCCTTTGTTCAGCTACTACGTCCGGAGTCGCCGCTTTCACAGACCATAAAATTCATAAAAGATCATAAATGTCTGTGTTCATGTACGATGTAAAAAGCCAATTGAATAGCCGGGGACATCAATATTAAAAGAGAAAGTCATGATTAATAAACCGAACGGTCAATAGGGAAGGTGGTTAATAGATACGATGTCAGAGAGTATGACACGAGTTATTTACCCTTTCCCACGATACTAAAACTTCCTCGTGCGTCATCTGGATAGCATTAAAAAATAAATCTATGACATCAACCAAGGTCACCAAAATGTATCAATCTTATTCAGAAACTGAGTAGATAAATAAACCTGGGATTGGCATTGTTCTCATTTGGATAACAAATAATTGATCATTTTTGAAAAAAAGTAGTTTGGGCACAAAATAATCTGATCTACTTTATTGGGCTGGCCTCATATGACGCTTTAGTAAGCCTAATTAATACTGATAAGGTGTCATGGAATTGTTACCTCTTTCCTGGACATATTGTTCAGACTCATTAATGTTATAATAATTTATGTTAGATCTGTTTACACTCAATGTATATGTGTATAAGTGACCTTTTTTTCCGGCGTTTACTAAAATATGTACAAAGTTACTAAGGAGAAAAAGACAAATAACGCTGTTTACATGGCGACGCGCGACCAGAAATATTGATTACCTTTCAAGTATTCGTCAAAAAGAGTTTAGACTGTAATAAAATAATAATAAGTGAATAAAAAATAAATAAATAAAAGCTGAAGCGAGATCACAAGCGTTTTACGAACTCGAAATCTACACGGAAACACTTCAAAAAGTACAAGGATAACGGACCAGGTGTTCTAGAAGGGTAAGCGTCATCTGCTTCGTCGACGACACCTGCCATGTTCATCTAGGTCAAATTCAAGTAATGCCACGTTTACACATCGAGAACACGGGTAGCGACAATAAAAACAAGACAAAATCGAAACTATCGACCTTCATAACGCACAAGGAAAAAAATCCCTATGAGATAATAATGGCGACCATAAAACGTGTACACGCTAGTCTTCGTCAACCTGCCTCTGTCGAACCCCGGCTGTAAGCTTGTCCGTCAGCAGGCCTAGGCCGCATCTTAGTATAGCCAAATAAACAAATGACAATGAAGAAACAAGAAGAAAATAATACAATAAATGAATAATTATAGTAAAAACTTCAGAAAGCGAGAGGAGGTCTGAACACATTGTGAAATCGACATGCTTCAGTAATGTTAGTAAAACCACGGACTTAGATAACAATCTAATTCCGTGGTAAAACAGTACATGGGTTTTATTTGATAAATATTGACTTATATTTAACGTTAAACCTGGGGGACATTATTGGCTATAACATCTGCAAGCTCTTACACAAAAACACGGATGGGGTGGAAGGCGGAGCATGGGGCACTGAGCTTCAAAGTCGTTGAATGACTTTTGTACTGATGGAGACTGTCTCTGGTACTGTGAAGGATTTTTAATGAGAATTAAAGATAAAGTCCCCACAAATGTGTTATGCTGCGAGAGATTTAACGACTATGTATGGGAGATGTCCCTAGGAGGTATCTTGTGTCCAGTTTACTACTGCTTGATCATCTCTGTCGCTCTGTCGCCTTCTTAAAATCCGACCAATACTAGTGACTGCTATCTAAGTCCGTGCTTTAACTACTAACTGTTGCATACACCCTCTCCCCGTTGTAATTGTGCCAGTATTGGATTATTACGTGTTGATGCAGATATTAGGAGAAGAAACATTGTGTTAAAGAGTGTGCGAAGAAGTATTGTAAAACATGACGATAAAATACGATGTAGATATAGCGGGAAATTGATTACGCTTATACGGGTCCAGGGGAGACAACTGTAAATCATTTTATTACAGACTTACTCCCCCTTGACCATATAATGAAAACAAAATAGAAATTATTCCCATACCCAAACAAGTGCTTTAAAAATAAATTACAACGAAGGAAATCTTTGTTTACATGGATTAATTTTAATAAATATGACTGTTTACAAACATACACAAGTAAAGGCACAAATGGTTCTGCATATATGGTAAAGTTAACTACAAAGTTAAAACTAGTTTTTTTCATAAAAAATCTTTTGTCAGCAAATTTGACTAAAGCAAATATGTTAAACTAAAAGTATAATAAACTCAGTAGTTACAACTGGTGACCTGCAATTCAGTAATAAATTACAGAAGTTAAACAAAATTTAACATTGAGTGAAAAACAGATATAAAACATTTCCACTAATCTTTCTTTAGTGTGTGTTTACAATAGTTAACAGATCCACAAAACAGGTTCTAATTAATTATGGTTCTCTATGTGTTATTCTCGTAAAGAAAGGCCTTGACTCTAGTTATAGCTCTAAAGGATTTGTTGCCACAGGGTTCTGATTTTCATGATTCTCATTGCGACAACTTGTCCAACAAAAACCCAACATGAAAAATTAATAAAGATTCAAACCATCTTGACTATAGTATTTTGTACCATGGCAACTAGACCTGAAAGCCGGTACAAATTTATCCCACGAAAAATGACCTTACAATACTGGTAAATCCACGAAAATTAGCAACAATTAAGTAAAAAATATTTTTTACATTGATTTTTTCTTTAATTTCTTCAATACAGTGTTTGATAATTGAAACCTTATAAAGTTTGGACGGAACTAGCTTTCAACTTTACACTCAAAGAATTATTGATGGACCAAAGGACATTATGAGGTACAAAGACAAAGGCACATCCATACAGCTATAGTACTTTGTGGAGAAAAAAAAATTAAATGTTCTTACCGGACAAATCCATCTGTTGTTGTTTAAATATGAAAATATTAATAAACTCTTGTCAATTAATTATTGAAATCAATTAAGAACTAATAACTACAATATTGTATGAGTCAAATCAATAGAATCTCAATGTCTATATAATGTACTGTATATGTTCCAATATTATATCATGATTTGTTTGACTGATGTGCCGTAAGTCTAAAAGTAAAAAAAGAATTGTTAAAAAGACACGAGAGGAAAAATTCAACTCAGAGAAAAAACTTTAGATATATATATATTTTATCTACGTTTATACCAATGGTATTTTAAACAATGAGCAAATTTGTGAAGAGGTGAAGCATTGAAGTTTCCAGTACCTGTTATTCATTTGGAAATGTTTTCATGACATTGAAGATCTTTTACAGTACATATTTCTGAATTCAAAGTGACCACAATATACAAGATTGGTTTGGAAAGTAAATGTCCAGATTAATAACATTTCACTGTACATATCAAAATGACTTTTATCAAACTTTGGCACAAATAATAAAGCTGGCCCAAATTTTATATGATAATTGAATAAAATAAACAACATAATCAACAATACCCTGAACAAAGAAAAGGCACAAAGGGTGTGGTACATTCCTAGTTTTCTACTACAATGATTCAGTATAAGATACAGGATTATAATTGAGATTTGAAAACACTTCTCAAAACTTCATTTTCAAAACTTCTGAACCCTTTCACCACTGTAGACCATAATGGTCTCATCCAGATCAATGCATGGTCGAGTCTTCTAAAGTTACATAGGGATGAAAGGGTTACGGTAAAGGCTACTACCGTATCAGTTATCATCACTAAGGTGACTTCAGCTCAAAGCTTCTTTGACTTGGAGTAATCTCCCCTTTATACAGAAGATGAAACAGTCAAAAGGAGATTTTTTTGGCTTAAAGTAACATCCTGTTAAATTATTCATAGGCTCTGAAACCCATAAATTGGACAGTTATTTGATGCTGTGTTTCTATATATTGGTACTTTCTATGTATTTGTAAAAATACAAACTTTTAAAAAGAAGTTGCTCAAAACATTATATTCTAAAATTCTTAGTCATTAAAGCTATTTCATGTAAAGGTTATATAATATCAAATTCAGTAATCCATTTATTAAACATATATATTGTATACACATAAGATCATTTGTTTTCTAGTAGCACCATTATAACAATATGATAAATACATAACTCACAACTCTGTCGTTCACAACACAATTTCTCTAAATAATATCTCTTATTAATCAAAAATAATATCATAAATCCCTAGTTTCAGAATCATCAAAAAGTCTGAGATTCTTTCCCTATCTCAAAACCAGACCACCTTTAGATGAGATTGTTTTCTGATGCATGTATAAATAGATTATTTAAGATAAAACAATTTTATGATACCAGGTACAGATTCAAGAAAAAAACAACTTGGTATACAGTAAATTGTATATCAAAGCCCTTTTCTGTTAACATCATTTGAGATATTTTCAGAATTTATGTTGACACCACTGTCTGCAGATCTACAGATGATTGTGAAACTGGGCCGGAAGATCAAGGCGTATTGCATAGCCCATTAATAAATGTTATCTGCCAATTGCTCAGCAATGAAATAAGTATAAGGGTCGACATAGATGGCCAAAATGCAGGTCAAGCCTGCTAGTTACTGGTCATTTCAGTCTGATGACCATTTGACAGTAATATGGCATTTAAAATATGAAAAGTTTAATTCTAATATTACAGAGTCTTTTCGATACAGAATTTTAGAATTCAAAGTTTAAAAAGGTGATTTTAAAATAATGTAAATTTTGGGATAAGAAGTTCAAATGCAGGATATTCCATATTCTAGCATGCATTCTGCAGTAATTGTTGTATATATTACAAACTGTGTAGGTCATGCAAGTTCACCTTTGTTGGTGACTTGGCAGATATGTATTTTAAAACCTTAGACACTGTATCAAATGCATGGGTTCCTCACAATGTACATATCAATCATAAAATGTAACAGCAGCAAAAACGGCTATTGTCTGTATGACTAACATTTAACAAATAAAAGTGATGACAAATAGTTTAAAAAAATCCAAACAAAAGTTGTGTTTCCATAAATATATATAACACTCCATTTTTCTATGGCCATATTCCTCGAAGGCCAACTATCGTAATCTATATTCAATAGAACATGATCCCTTGTCTCCAAGACTGGATCGATCAGTCTGACCTCAGGCATACTGCTGTGACATGAGGGCGTCGTTCTCCGAGGCTGTGTGGCTGTGGGGTGTGGCAGAGGATCTAGGCAAAACAGACACCAGAAAAAACATTTATCTTCTCCTCAATAACAAAACATCAACATTCCTGATATTGGAAATTGGCAGATAATGAAAAAGCTTATTAGCACTTCTTCAGCCCCAGAGTTGAAGACACATACAAAAACAAAGTCGAAACCCTGGACCCTCCCATCTTTACTTTAACAGCATTGAAACCTTGTTGAAAAGCAAAACCATTGAACCTCCACTTTTGTAAAAAGGTGTTAAAGGCCACGTTACACAGCCTCGTTTAGAGGTTTGTGTACCTTAATGTTGATCATTCTATCTGATGTTTGTATGTGAAGTACAATATTTTTCGTAGAATGATATCAATAACATAAGTCACCTGTCTATGGCCTCCCCACTGTTGACAGAGTACTGTGGTGGGAGTTGGTATGGGGGTGGGGATGCGCTGTGAGCTTCTCGTCTTTCACGCCTCCGATCTCTGTAATATATAACAGACATTTAATTTTATGTATGTATCAGAGACTTTCCAAAATCTCATTGGTTATGATAAACAGATGATTTCCAAAGAGGACAAAAAATAAAATAAATACAACAATTGTCACTCTAAGTCTTCTTCAAGGGGGAAAATTGTTTCAAGTAACGTCTATCTTGCTTTTTCGAAGGTAGAAGAAATGACATACAAATGTATGACGTCACAATGACTCGTTGAATCTATGACCATATGATCATTGGAAATGATTTCATTTTAGTACATAATATAGGAACAGTCTTAGGGCAGTAATTTGTTCAACAAAAGACTACCTCTGACCAAAAAAAGTCCAAGGGAGGTAATTTGTCTAACTACAAACAACATGACTGACCTAACAGTCTTAAGGGGGTGGGGTGGGTGTTAGCTTGTTTAATTATAAAACATGAGTTATGATGAACAAGATTCTACTTCTGACAAACAGCAATATCAGGGGGTAAATTGCCATGTGAATTCAATTCATAATACCTCTGTAGTGTTCCCGGGGCAGATTGGCAGGTGTCTCGTCCATGCATACCCCTACGGTAGCGGTGCTCACGGTCAAGGGTCATTGAACCACTGCGGCTAGACAGCAGTAATGTATCTCTTTTCCTAGAGAGTTCCCTAAGGCCTTGTGATGCTCTTCTGATGGAGTTGTACTTATCCAAATCAATACTGAAAATCAAAAATATTATAAAGTTACATGCATATAAAATACATTGAATTCCTATCACCAATTTCTAAACAAAACATTGTCAAAATTGTTTGGACCAACACTGCATGTCACAATTAGACTGCAGCTACAAAAAATCAACAATGTGATGTCATGAATACAATTGTTAAACTTGTCAAAAACTTTCCCTTTGCTTAACAAGACTATATAGCTTTGTTTTGGGGGTTTTCGTGCTAAGTCGGAATTTTTAATCAGTTTTTAGAAAATGTGATGTTCTGACATCAAATTACGAATTATCATCTGGAGCATATATACATCATCTTTATCTCACATCGCTATGTAAGAAATACAGGAATCTGAAATTCTATCATTTTTGACAAGATTTAGCCCTCAAAACAAAATTATGCAGATCACCTATGAAATGATTCTCAAATAAATATCTCTTTCTTCACTTGGGGCTAATCTTGCCAAGATTGATTGTAATTTCTGTGATATTTATAGGAAGGATTCTTTTATCATGTTTAAACATTGATATTCATGCCCTCTCACTGTTTATCCTCTATGGGTGTACAGCAATGTTATAGTATATATGTACTCACTCTTCTTGACTTTCTGATTTCTTCCTCCTGCAATGAACAATATTTGATTTAAAACAAAAAAAAACAATAATCCTTTTCCCTTAATATGATCCTCTTATCTAAATTCATTAAAGAAGAACAAAGATATTAATTTAATTAATTGAATATTTCTGTTTCTATTTTATTATCTATTTTATATACTGTATATTAAAAAGTGTAAAGCAGAGTACACAAAACAGTTTTACAAAAATATTGTAAATGTTTTTATATAAACAACCTGAGTGTAGGACTGTAGTACTTAGACATAGCAAATAGCTCTTTTTACAACATTGACCGAATATTAGTAAATCAAATTAACACAGATTATAATTTTGCCATTTAGACATGTGAAGGAATTAAATTTTCACAATGTGTCAGCACAGAGGCAGGACACTCGGCATATAAAGTGTAAAATGAATACTCTTTATTATGGCATATTGAGCAAAACCAGCGGCTCACATATATATATATATATACCCATCTCTGTTTACCCATCTCCCAATGCTGATTTGCCTGTGACCTTTGACATTTTTTAACCTTGACCAATGACCATCAAAATTCAATCAAGTATAAAAATCCATGTTACCATACTATGGTGTAAATATAGACTATTTTTACATGGGGGTCAGTGAAATACATGCAAACTGTTTACTTCAAAAGTGGTCAAGTGTAATCTTTGCCCTTGACCCTTTACCCTTTAAACTTGACTGATGATCATGACCACCTAATTCTACTGGTGTCAAAATCAATCTTACTACACTACAGTGTGAATATAAAGTTACCAGTAATTTGTTTTGGGGGAAGTGAGATATCTTGTACACTATTTTTGCTATGGTCACATACAGGCAAAGACAGCTAGCTAGCATATATGGACACTCACAGCTAGCTAGCATATATGGACACTCACACCGACAGACAGACATACTGAGGGATATGATGAGAAAAAATTAAAACTACCAACCTTCTTGTGCAGCTACAGCAAAGGATCATGCTGAGGACCATTGCTAACAACAATACAACGCCTGCAGGAATCACCACAATGTACACAAACTCCATCCACATATCCCGACATCTCCGTTCCCCATCGCACAGGTCTGGTGGACTGAATACTGGCACAGGGTACACCTCCATCTGGAAACGCCCAAAGTGACAGTGAAACATTGTAATTACATAAGTATATATACGTGTAGTGGAACTGCACTGTGTCTTCTGTCAGCAACCAGGTGGTTCTCAATTGGTAGATCATCTGTCTAGAGTTTGGGAGTCCTGGGTTCAAATCCAGGTCTGGCATTTCATTTTTCTGCTCCTGTTACAGTATACGTAGTGCCTGTGACCAACCCTCTTTTCAAGTATTGGGCGAATTGCTTGGCAAGAGAATACCCGAACCTCGGTTTTAAACAATGTTGTCTTCATTGGAAACACATTTGGGTCAGGATGGGATTAAGGTTGGGAACTGGGAATTCGAAAAAGCCTGTCAGGTTTCCTCTGGCCTTGACACCCGTCTTACTACATTTTGACAATCTGATTAAAATTATCTGTTATATGGCTCCGCCTGAACTTCTGAATGTGCCGCGGTCAGGGTCACATTCAAGTGACCTTTAGATGAACCAATCAGAGGCGCGCTGGCAAAGGTTTGCCAGCGAATGGGAATATCATGGTTGATAGATAAATAGCGAGGGGTATCGAACAGATTAGTTTTCCAAAACAAATATGGCGCGGGAACTGACGTTTCTACGACGCTAAGGAAAACGTACCCATTGGGTAATAATTGTGTAGGCAACACCGCCATACAGTCTTTCTTCTTTAATAAAGTTTCGAATATCTTTCCTGTTCGTGTTTCAGACGATCAATCTCAAATAACTTCAGAACTGTCGCATCATTCTCATCAATGTCCGCCATATTTGTTACAACTCCAAGCGCCCTTTTGAAAGAGGGTCTCTGATTGGTCAAAATTTAATGAGTATTTATAAATATAAAGGTCACCTGAACGTGACTCTGACCGCGGCACACTCAGATGTTCAGGCGTAGTACGAAGTTAACGAAGCCATGTAACATATGATTTTAATCAGATTGACATTTTGACAGATAGATGTCCAGTCTGGTGTCGACAGGGCCAGACGTTTGGCATTTTCTTTCAATTTTAGTAGTTTTAATAAAGTCACAAATAAGTCTTTTTAATCTTCCATATCATTAAAATAAATTTAAAAAAAAATGTGTTTGTGTTGTTTTGAGTGTTGTGTTGAGTGTGACAAATGGCAGCTGTGAAAAGCTGACTCCGCACTCACACAGTTGCGTATTTTTCTACATGAAATCAATGTAGAAAGTTATCAATTAATTGATATATTTAAATATAAATCATTATATTCAGAATGGCGTATAAATTAAAAAGACAATTTAGGGCGAAACAACCCATTACTAACTCAGGCTAGGAAGGAAGCTGCTGTCTGATTTTCACTTATTATTCAAAACAAGAGATCCAAGAGGGATCTTAGCACCCACCATTTTACCATTTTCATTAGTTCTTTATCAGTTTGATCTATTCTCTTCTTTTCTCTTATCTGTTTGATCAGTTTACCTGTCCGCCAACTTAATCAATCTTTTTGTCAACCTCAAAAGTTAACATACACAACTCAGGACCAAGGGCAACCTACAATGTACATATCAAATTTGGGAACTCTTCCTTCAGTAAATTCAGAGAAATTGCAATTACAAACTTAAAATTTAACAAGATAGCTGACAAATATTTGATATGCATAGCTAAGAACAAGAGGAACCCTCTGTGAAATTTAAGAAAGATCTCTCCAGAACATTACATCCATCAGTTTTAATTTTCACGGAAACCTTTTATATCGATAATCAGATGATATATGAGCAGAACTGAACTGCCTTAACATTTTGGAGCAAACGAAAAATCAAAACGCGTTATGCGTTTCTCGGAAAGCAAAAGATTATTAAAATAAAGAAATGTGTATTAAATTGAAAATATCGTGAGTATTAACCTGACTTCCCCGATGAAACTTCACTTGTCGAAAGCAAACTCCTACTTCACCGGATATTGATTAATGGATGTTAAATTTAGACACAGCTCCGCGTGTCTTTTTCCGGAATTTGAACCCAATTTCCGGCAGAAAATTTAAGTGAACATTACTTTCGCTAACAATGCTTTATGCAACTGCACCAAGAAATTAATATAGTTCATGCCATTCTAAATTACGGCGCAGGTGTGCTCCATTGGCTCAAGTTTCCATCTGCATGTTTCTAATTTAATCTTAAGCAAAGGACTTGAAAATTTTTGAATATTTAGGATTTGAAGTCCATGGCCTCACTAGTTGTTTAAAATGTGATTAGCTTTCTCCGAAGATTAATAAACTTTATCAGCTTACCCGATTCCAATTTTTTTTGCATGAACAATATCTTCAAATGAACAATTTAAATCCAAATACATGCATTTAATTGCGTTTCCTCTGTATATATTGTGCATATTTAAGCACTGACTTAGATAGCATCCAATTCCGTGATGCAAGTTCATTTGAACATTAAGCTAACTATGATTTGACTACAGTATAGCTCTAGGAAATCTGCATACCTGGCAGAAAACACCCTAACCATTTGTCTTGTCGAAATAAAGTCTATTGCGTGACACAATTTGGATATATCTAAATATTCGTCAGTTTTAACAAGGAGTCTTAGATATAATCTAATTCCGTGGTCTTAATAATTATTTCAATAATTCCTGACAAGATATCTTATTTAACGTTATAATTACAACATTAGGAAGCCAGTCATATATTGAATCTGGAGCATAACTTTTGAAAATGATCAACACGTGCTATCCTATGCTAGCCTAGAAAAAACGCTGTTACATATTCTTCCATTTTTACAACAACAAAAAAACACTGCAATATCATGGTATAGAGTGTGGCTCTGAAAAAAAGAGCCCGATGTTAATTTCAGTGTTTTGAAAATAATTATGAAATGATTATTCTTATGTTCTTTTGTGACCGTGTGCTATTTTATACTATGAACATATGGACTTTAAAATCATTTTTTATTAGAATTGACAACTTTTTTTGTCTCAAACCCATGATAAAAAATATGTTATTGATATGTTTATCTCTTTTTTATTTTTTTTATTAATTGGGCAGAGACAGATATTATTTAGGAAGAACCACATACGGAGTTATCCATAACATCATCTTTGCAACTGGCAAATAGACAAACAATATAAGGAGATTTAGTTTCATTGTCTCCATAATAAATGAGAGATAAACAAAAAAAACACCGTCAGACAGTCTTGTAATATCAACAAGAGCTGTATATTTATTTTTATAAATACTACTAGAAAATCCGGAAAACTTGTTCCATTTCGGAATTTTTAACGTACGGTTCCATTGATTAGATAATTAGATTACTACCCAGCATGCATTGCAAATAACAATGTCGAGTATCTTTGTTGCTTGCACATTATAAAAAAGTGACTGTATGCTCTCTTAATTGCATTACTGCATCTATCGGGCTTATCTGCATCAAAGGTTGATAAACCTATGTAAGTATTTCGATGTGGTGTCCTAATTTTGCTGAAACCCTTCCAATATGTGTATTGCAGTCCTCGGTGTGACGATGCTCATTCACTCGAAATAACCATCATGACCATCTCGGCATCTAATCCTTGGTCCCTCCAAACATAACTCGAAAACTGTATTTATCTCTATGTATGCAATGCACCTACAGCATGCGGTACCTGCTAAATATATGCATTGGTGTTTTACTTATGAAATATGTTCAGCGTAGACTCTCATAAACTTGGTTGTGTATTGGAAGTGGAGCGGGTATTACTTGGTTGTGTATTGGAAATCGAGCAATATAAATTTAATGGATTGAGGGACAAATACAACGAAACAGTGTAGTAAAGGAGATAAAAGACATCAGTTAGTACTTATCAATCTTTATGACATGTTGTTGACACTGTGTCCCCAAAAAAGAATACCCCCATATCGCCCCTCTATGAAACCTCCACAGAGGGAGATCACCCTTCACAGCTACTCATCATTTTGAAGGATGACTTCAAGAATTATGCTGAAGAACTAACCTTTACATGTTTTGTTCATTTAGATAGAACAGCTTTAATTCGTCACATATTTATCAACCATCAAAATGGGCAGGGTATCAATGAAAAGGGGAGGGCGCCATGCATGTTATAAAAATTGTGGCAGTGGACACTGGTGATTAGAAAAGGAGTAAAATACTCAGAATTGAGCAANCAGCACCCTGCTATTCCTTGCTAGCTGGAACACTGTTATGGTTGGCTTGCAAACAACCTATAAAGTTTTGATAGCCTATTTTCAAGTTCAAAATATAATTTTGATAACGTAACATGAAGCAGAAATAGACTGCAAATCACCAACAACCAGTTAGTTCACTTGGTTTGAGCATCAATTTTAAAGGGGCTGGTCGGGGAAAAATTTACAAAATAAATGGGTGTAAATGTGTTCTCTGGCCTTCCAAAAGTTATACCACGGCAATATGATGGTCGAGTTCTGCTTGCAATGTCCAGTTTTGACCACTGAAATCTCGGGGAAGCCCCGCATAAATTTAGGGCAGATCTATTATATATGTCACGTGGTTGTTTAGAAAGTGAGGCAGCAACCATGTGACATATATACCACGTGCCGTCAACTCAACTAGCGGACAAGACAGCAATACTACTTTTTTTTTTCACAATTATAACCATTACTATTATCCATATGTTGTAAAGCGCTTTAGAGTAATTTTACAAATTATATAGGGCGCTATATAAATGTTGTATATTATTATTATTACTATACGTAAATAATTGTTTTCAAAGGTCATATATGATGCAAGTGTAGTATTCCTACCTATATGTTGTTATATATAACGGTATTGATACCTTGTGCCTGTCATGACTTTTGCATGCATCTTTTTCTTTCGTCACGATGTTTACTTTTGGCCTTGTTGATGACGCGCGTGCGGTAAAATTACATCACTGATCTGGGTCAATTGAGAGTTTTAGACTGTCAGGTGACGATTTAGGATTTCCTTAATATGATTATAATTTTTTCTCTTAGGGAGTGAATTTCAGCAAAATTTGAATCGGTATATTTCATAAGAAGGTATTTTAAACATGTGTATGCCATTTTAGCAAAGATGACATTTTTTCCCCGACCAGCCCCTTTAAGTTCAAAGGGTTCCAAGTTGGAATTCCAGTCTGGTCATGCATTTCTCTCTCTTTCTCTTGTTACATTTGCAATTGACACTCAAAAAATATATCTATGCCACAGAAGGTGGTATAGGGTCTTGTGTGTCTTTGAAGTGAAAGACTTTGTTATCGAGGAAGGACCAGGTAGCTCAATTGGTAGAGCATCTGTCTAGAATTCAGAGGGTACTTGGTTCAAATCCAAGTCTAGCCTACATTTTTCCCTTTCCTCTCCTGTTACAGATATGAACATCACATGTTTGACATACACTATGGCGTACAAAAAAAGTCATATTCAGAGGCCCAACAAGTAGCATTATCCCATGTTCTTTGCAAAAGGAAATTACCCACAAGTCGAACATGTACTTTAAGAAACAACAAAAGTCCTGCTTTATTTTGTTATTTAGTTTCAGTTCATTCACATAAAAATAATGAACCAATATTTTGAAAAATGCAATAAAATTGTGTGCAATTAAGTTATATGTAAGAAAATTCTTCAAAACCACATTATTGAGTAATATATTGATCCTATTTTAAAAGTTTGAAGCTGATCATTATTTTGAAATAATACAGTAGCTGCTAGCATAATAAGCCAATATTTTCACCAGAACATCCACAATATATATGGAAAGCAATAAAGTTTATGCTTACCGGTATATACATCTTTAAAAAGAGAGAAAATGGCAAATGAGTTGCCTACCTTGTTAGTTGATACTAGATGTAGGTCCCCATGAAATAACTTAACAGGTGCTTTCATATTTAAACTGCATTATGGGATAGATAGAAAGACCACAATGGTCCAAATTGCATACAAAAAAATCTTTGTGGTGCAACGACAAAGTTGTTTTGTGGTTTGACATCAGTAAATCAACTAATTCAATCAACTTGCTTGGAATAAAGAGAATAGTAACCAACTACCTGGCTTTGTTGTAGAGGATTCATTATACCAATATGTTTCAAAGGTATTCTCAAAAATGGAAAACATTACAGATAACCTTCTTTCAAACTATGTAACCATTCCCATCTGGTAGTGAACTAGTACTCCTATCACATATTATTTGTGATGCATTACATTCAGCGTTGTTCTGACGTTTTTCAACTATCAAAACCCCAAGTGAAGTCCTAAATGGTGAGGTTTGGCAATAAAGGAAATGATGCATTAATATATTGCTTCTGTAGGACCTTAATACAAGTAAATATTTCTTTGAAAATTTATGATACAGTTAACGTTGGACTGAAATGAGACAAGATTTTATGTATGTTTCCAGATTTTGTTTGTGAGTTCCATTTTAACCAATCATCATACTGGACAGAGCGCAATTCCTGGGTCCCAGGATGCCTGCAGGGCAGCCTATCCCATCCCCAATGGACAGAGATCATGGAATTGCGTAAGTCATCATTTTCAGTTACGATTTAAATAACTTCATTTCCTTATATTAACATATTGAAAGGTAAGGAAATACATTTTCTATGAATGTCATAAATTATAAGTTTCATAAATTATATAACTACAAAAGATTTTCAGAAGTTGTGCATGCAATGTATATATGTGTTTTTTGCAAATTATTGATATCATGGATGTGAAAAGGTAGACTACAGTCAGTTGTCACAGTACTAATGTAATTGCCTATCAATTTGGCCCATTTCAAATGAAATAAAGACATTTTCTGTCCATTTTGAGAAAGAATGAAAACAGATTTTTTTTTATCCATATATACATGTCGGTTTTGCAAACTTAGAGATTGATCTATCCTAAAATACCTGGAAAAAATCTGAGATTATATGTTGAAATAATGTACAGAAGTGGCGGATCCAGAGACCTATCTGGGGGGGGGGGGTCCATGTGGGGAAAATTGAGGTAGGAGTGTT